GCCATCTTATCCCTAACGACCAATCACCTTCCACGCAGACCGCCGCCATCTCGTGACGTCACATCCGCTGCAGACCGCACCCATCTTACGCCGCCATCTTGTGACGTCACATCCGCTGCAGACCGCAGCCATCTTATCCCTACGCAGACCGCCGCCATCTTGTCGAACTCGATGGACACTGGCCATGTGACGTCACATCCGGTCCAGAAACCGCCTAACATAACTACTAACGTGTACTGACAAAAGACAGTTTTTTTTATCGGATATTGTGTATCAATTTCCAACGAGGAAACTGACCTTCGCATAATATCGTTGAATTCACGGTTAATATTACTATTTATTTTATTTAATTCATCAATTGATAATGCTATTTTATATTATAATTTCCTGTAATATCTAGTTAGCAATAAATACAATAATTGTTCTCACTTCAAAAGATTTTAACACAAAATTTATACTATTGTAGACGCTCACTGCACAATGTCATTGTGTACACGACATTAAAACCACTACTTAATTTCAAGGTTAACTGCAATGTTTAAACGTAAATCATGTGAAGGTCGTCACATAATGTGATATTTTTTCGTCTTTTATACACCGAACAAAATCATTATACATTTATATACTTAGAACTCGCTCAAGGTCATACCCTCATGAAATATTTATCCATAGCATTTAGATAGACATATTTTTAATGAAGGTCATATAACAATATTCCTTATTCACACCACACAACATAAATTTTATTTCAAGGTTAACTGCATTGCAAAGGTCAAATAAATGTCACCATCCTACGCCATCTCCTTCGGCTTTCAGCCTCAAGGTGATCTCAAGGACGAAAGTGGAGGGGGAGATTGAAAAGCGCTAAAAATACCCTACTCATTTGAATCAGAATGTGAAGGAAATAGATCTTCTATATCGTTAATCATATTAAAGAGGATTTTATTAACAAGACCTCTTGTGTAACCATATTTAATGAAAAGCTGAGAAAGCTTTTTTAAAATTTCCATCAGTAGATAGGCTACCTTCGTTCTACGCCAAAATCCCATGTATTTTCTTATGAAGGTTCATCCTGGTCATTTTTGACGAATTTTACCCCCACTCCACCTCCTTTTCCCTCCCCCTCCCCTTCCCCGCTAGCCAATCAGAGCGCAGCATTTTTTGCGGGGAAATTCAAAATGTAGTCACCCAGGGCTTTGCCGCATCTAGGGCTTTACCCCACCTAGGGCTTTGCCCCCTAGGGCCCCCATGCAGGTCTCTTCATGTAGGTATGTAGGATTCCCCACGTAGACAAGAGTATTGAGCGTAGGCCTCCGCGTGTACCCCGCGTAGATATACCTAAATTGTATAGGGCTTCGCCCGCCACCGCGGGCCCCAAAGTAATCGAGCGGTGACGTAGACAGTAGCCGCGACTTTCATTTCGCAATAGTAGTTTATAACGCGGCCGAGCGGGTGTCTGTAGAAGGCGCTATAAGTGGAGCGCGGTAATGTAATCATAAATGCCTGTATATTTAATTATTACAGACTACGGCTAAAAAATATGTACTGGAATTTACTTTAGGAATGTTTGTTAAAATAGAACAGAAAGGGTAAATCCTTCTTCGTCTTAAATGTTCATATATATTTCTTAAGTTCATATTAAAGCCCAATGGTAAATTCTTTTAAATAGCAAATTGTATTGAAATAGATTTTATTCCGCTTAGGTGTGTAAACCAAGTCAACAAACGCTAGCACAGCTGCCTTTGCTGTCTCAGCAAAACAACCCGTGGCCTGTTCTGGCGATATCAACTACAGTCACTGCACTTTGCGGCTTTTCTTGGCTAAGACTGTTAATAATCAATTTTATAATTAGTCATATAATCAACGAGTCTGCTCTGCTTGTTTTTTGTTAAAAGTTTCTCGGATTATTATAGTGAGTGGTGCTTTTTGTGTGTATCCTTTTGGATAAAGAAAGGTAAGTCTATATACACATTTTCAGTTAAAAACGTAGCTTTGTATAGCAGTTATAATCTTAAACGGCAATTACTTCTCATAGTAAAAAATTCTATAACTAAAAATATTAGCATTAAATTCTAAAACAGTCAAACCAGCTACCAAAATTAGTGGTATATTAAACAAATTCACTTACACGTTTATTATCTAACGAAGAAAAATTCTATTTAAAACCACCATTATACAGGGTGTTATTTTAGCAGTTGAGAAAAAACAATAGCTACAGAGCCTTTATAAAAGTTACAAATTAGTTAACAAGATGGTGGCTAAAAATCTAAAGAATTAATTTTTATATTATTATTTTTATAGACAGCGGAAAGACAGAGAGAGAGCAGCGTTGCAAGGGCATGCGTTTTGGCTACAGAATGACAGAGACATGGAAACCAAAAACAAGGCATACGAAGGGTAAGTTGCTTTCAATTTCTACATTTCAGATTGCTTTTCAGTTTTTAATACACAGTCCATGTATTCTAAAACTATAATTAGCTCTTAAAATAGCTTATTTATAATAAAATCATATTTAAAGCATTAATATTAAACTACAATTATTTTTCATAGTAAAAAATTCTATAACTAAAAATATTAGCATTAAATTCTAAAACAGTCAAACCAGCTACCAAAATTAGTAGTATATTAAACAAATTCACTTACACGTTTATTATCTAACGAAGAAAAATTCTATTTAAAACCACCATTATACAGGGTGTTATTTTAGCAGTTGAGAAAAAACAATAGCTACAGAGCCTTTATAAAAGTTACAAATTAGTTAACAAGATGGTGGCTAAAAATCTAAAGAATTAATTTTTATATTATTATTTTTATAGACAGCGGAAAGACAGAGAGAGAGCAGCGTTGCAAGGGCATGCGTTTTGGCTACAGAATGACAGAGACATGGAAACCAAAAACAAGGCATACGAAGGGTAAGTTGCTTTAAATTTTATCATTTCAGATTACTTTTCAGTTTTAATACACAGCCCACGTATTCTAAAAACTATAATTAGCTGTTAAAATAGCTTATTTATAATACAATCATATTTAAAGCATTAATATTAAACTATAATTATTTTTCATAGTAAAGAAAACTTCTATAATTAAAAATATTGGCTTATTTCAACAGGAAAACAAGCTAAAAAAATCCTCAAAACATATTAACATTCTAAAAACTATAATTTAGCTGGTAAAACAGCTTATTTAATACAGAAAAAATCACTTAATCGTAATAAACGTTAACTAACCGAAAATTAAATACAGGGCTTTATTATAATAACTGAAAAAATTAACCAAAAACAATTAAACAATAGGTAATTAGACGAATCTTTATTGAAAAAAGATAAAGCAATTTACTAGAATCATACAAAATCAAAACCAAAATCAGATTAAATTTTTTTTATTTAAAACCAGTATTATACAGGGTGATATTTTAACAGTTGAGCAAAAACAATAGCTACAGGGTCTTTATAAAAAGTTACAAATTATTTGACAACAAAATGATGGCTAAAAATCTAAAGCATTAATTTTATAGGCAGTTGAAAGTCTAACCAGGACAGAAAGGCATGAATTTCGGCTACAGAGGCATGAAGTTCAAAACAAGATAACAGAATGACAGAGACACGAAGAAAGAAGGCATACGAAGGGTAAGTTGCTAGATTTTTCTGCATTTCAGATCGCGTCGTTTGTACCGATTCAATACACAGTTAAATATGCTGGCTTGATACGGTACCCGTGTCGTGTAGGGGTCTATCTTAAACGATTACCTAAGGGTAATCATTGGATTTTTCCTTGCCAACGAAAAAAGGTTTCAGCCACACGCGAAAAACTTAAATCCGCCCGTGAACGCGAAAGGCCTTCGGGCTATCGAAACGATAAAAATGGCTGTCTTGTGGTTAGGGCAAATTCAAAATATAATTGTTCGGTACCATACCCTTAACGCAATTCAAACATCTCAACGGCAGTGTTTCAAACTAAACAGATCCGTTGCGACTTAGAACATAATTGAACGTTATAGGGTCTTTCCTTACAATTAAAATTACTATAGACTCTACATTAAAAATTTTCAGATTTTATTTTTCGTAAAATAATTTTTTGCCAATATTTTTTTAGTAAAGTACAGTTGACGTCATTTTTCATAATTTTTCGATATTTAATTTTACTATATTTATTTTTTTATTAAAGTACAGTTTTAGTAAAGTATAGTTTTGACATAATTTTTAATAAATAATTTTTCTGTTTTTTTATTAAATTTCAGTTTGACGTTATTTAGCCTCGGAAAGTGATGGCTCGAATTAATTATACGGTTCAGGCGTAAGACAAAATTTTTCTATTATTAATTTGTCGCAATTTTAGTACTTTCTAGTAAAGTACAGTATGATGTATTTTTTCATAATTTTTTGCTTTTTTAGTAAAGTACAGTATTTTTTTCATAACTTTTCATAAAATAATTTTCTTATATAATTTTTCGTAATTTTTCTACT